ACGAAGACCAGCTTACACTCAATATTAATATGAATACACAACATACACACAATGAAGACATGCTTCACTCATGAATGTGAATACATGACATAAATGCTAAATGGTGTAGATTTAACACACTTAAAACACTGAAGGGTCTAGCAGCATGTATGAATACCATAGTTGATGGGATCATGCACTTTGTATTACAAGCTAGGAAGTTCACTAGTGACATGACTGTGTGAAGGCACTGGATGTGATATTTGACATGCTGGTAGTTAACCTCCAAGAAAAGACTGAAAAGATCAAGAAAGAAGGAATGGAGAGGAGAAACAGCTGATTTGGGCCTGTCTTTGATTTCAGAGGCCACACAGGAAACAGTGAGAATAGGGGACAAGGACCGGTGAGAGGTTAAGGCCGGACGAGTTCAAGTGAAAGCATATGGGAAATTGGGTTGAAAATTGAGGCTGAACTGGTGGGGGTTTAGAAATGTCCAGAGCATCACAACAGAAAGGTAAATTAATTTAAAAAAAGAGAGAGAGATAAAGAAATAAATTGTCACATGTGACATTATTTTTGGAGAGAATCAGGGTTGAGACAGTTTGAATCCAGAGCTCAGCGCAAAGATGCAGGAATTAAATCTGATTATAAAAACACATCGAGGCAACGAAGATCTGTCACGGTCCTGAGTCTGTGGACTCAGTGTTTTTCTGTTTGTATTAGTTATCTTTGATTTCATGATGTGTTTTGATTCTCTTGGGTTTGAGTTCTGTCACTGTATCCCCTAGTTTAGTCCACGTCTGTTCAGTTTCCTGTTTTACTTTGAAAGTTTGTGTACTATGTCAATGTGTTGAGTTTTGCCTCCCCTTGTCTTGTCATGTCTGATGAGTCCCAGCTGTGCTCTCCTCCTGTTTCACATTCCCTAATCACCTCAGCATGTATTTAAGCCCTGTGATTTTCCCTGCCAGTTGTTGCGTCCTCCACGTTTGTTGTGTGTGTATTCATTGTCGGCTATCTTCAGCGTCTCCAGTCTAGTTAGTTTAAGTTGTTGTTTATGTATCGCCAAGGGTGACTCACCAGCAAATAAAACTGTCGTTTAAGTTAATGTTTTGTCTCCGAGTCCTGCACGTGTGTCCAGCCACACAACTCATCGTGACAGAAGGACGCAACCATAACATGGACCCAGCGGACTCAGCTCACCTCAAGAGAGAGAGGTGGACCTTGCTCGCATCCTTGGACTGATAACTCGCATTAGCCACGCCTCAGATTTGCAGACATTCTCAGTCGGGTTGAATGCAATACAAACCATTTTTGACAGAAATCCTCAACTGCGCCAGCTGTCTATTGCCTCGGAGTCCAGCCGTTCGCTGACCCAGGCTAAGGAGGCAGTCAAAGCCCGGGAGCTGGCCCAATTCACCCTCATCTCCTCATCCACACTGCTTCAGTCACAGCGCGCAAGCCCTCTCACGCCGCCGCAGCGGATGGAGCATTCTATAGCCCCACTGCAGCAGCTGAAGTCGCAGCATCGGACTCCTTCCTCCCTCACGTCTGGTTCCGACCACCCCTCACCTGCCTCATGCCTGGCAGGAACGTGGTCGGAGGATGAGGGACCAGTCACTGTTGCTCCGACACCCTCTGTTTTTTTCTGTCGCTCCGGTTTCCAAGAGAAAGCGGCGTTCTGGTCATTGCCGTCCCTCACCGCAACCCGAGTCCAATTCCTGCTCTGAAGTGCTGGACGTGGTGAGTGAACAGAACAGTTGTCACCCGGCTTCTTCCACGCTGGGAATTT